CTCTCTTTCTCTCTCTCTCTCTCTCTCTCTTTCTCTCTCTCTCTCTTTCTCTCTCTCTCTTTCTGTCTCTTTAATACTCCCTTTCTCTCTCATTTTCTCACTCATTTCCTATCTGTCTGTCTGTATGTCTGTCTGTATGTCTGTCAGTCTGTCTGTCTGTCTATCTTTGTCTCTCTCTTTCCCTTTCTCTCTCTCTATCTCTCCCTCTATTATCTCTATCTCTGTTTATCTCTACATCTCTCTCTCTTTATATCTCTATCTCATCTATCACTTTCTCTCCTCCTGCCCCCTCCTCTCTCACCCTCTCTCTCACTCCTTTTCTCTCAAATAATCTCTCTTATTTTTCTCTCTCTCTTTCTCTCTTTATGTCTCTCTCTCTCTCTCTCTCTCTCTCTCTCTCTCTCTCTCTCTCTCTCTCTCTCTCTTTCTGTTTATATGTGTTCCTCTTTCGCTTTCATTTTGCTGCAAAATAAAGGAGTAAAAAAATTAGCAGTGTCGTATAAACTACATCTTTGTTATAAACGACTGACTTATAGAACTTTTCATTATGTAATCGCCTCAACTTTCGGGTAGTTTGAGGGTGCTCCGCTGTGGTCAGTTCAGTCGCCTACAAGTGTTTTTTGTGTGGTTATGTTTTGTTCTTGGTGCACTGAGTTCGAAATATCCCCGAAATATCCCCGAAATATCCCCGAAATATCCCCGAAATATCCCCGTTCTCCACAGCCCAATACCCCCCGTTATGTACCATCAGGACAAATGTTTGTAGAGACCAAGGTCTACTATACTGACTATAGTCGTCCTTGGTAGAGACTAAAATTTGGTGATATGGTATAGGTATAACACCTGGCTGGGACTCAAACCTCCGAACTTGAGATTGCAATCTCACGATAACGGGTCCAGTAGCCTATTGCTGAGACTGGAGCAAACAAACAAAAATCCTATTTTTGATAGAAATGAAAAGAACGTACTCTATGTTTTTACATAAAATTAATGTCTTATGGTCAGATTTTTGTACCACCCACAGAATTGATATACACATACATGGAGTTGTATAAATGCATTTTATATAAATGTACATACTATTTCGAC